ATGCAAGTTTAGGCACATTTCGATCGCTGCTCATTTTAAAAGGAGATTTTCGAAAGTAGTTCGACCAGAAAGTGAAGCAGAAAGTGAAAGGATTAACTTCGCAGAAGTGCAGCTTTTTTTTTTTCAATGCGGCCCACTTGTCGATGAAAGTGTCCATGAAGTGTCCATGTGGTCCGAGCCTCGGAAAGTTCGGGGACCGCTGGTCGAGCGCAAAACATTCATTCAAATTTCATTTTAAAAAAGTGTCATGTGTTAAAATGACGCCCTGTAACTCTGTAAATCCTTCATTAAAAAACCCAGAAAAGTCATGGGAATTTATGGAATATGGTGGAGCAAGGATCACAAGGGGCAATCTCGCATCAGTTACTCATTTCTGTCGACCTTCTTACCGATACCGTAAATGCATCGACTGTTTCCTGAAAGTTCTTGGATGAATATATGGATTTCATGGGATTTCTTATCTCCGATATCCAATCTATTCGGCTGTGGAGGCTGAAAAAGCTAAAAACTTCTTTTAGTTCTTATGTTCTACTTTTTCTTCTTCGAATTCTGCTTTTGTTCGAAAGAAATCATTTTCTTCGTTTCCCCATACATGGTGTGCATCATTTACACAGGGGTGCAAACCCCCGTTTCACGAGACCGAGCCTCGAGAGGTCCTGAAATTTACCATAACCTGAAATTTAGCATATTTAGTGTTTGGATTAATCCGACGGTCGATGCGTGAAGGTGGAAGGTGTTCCCGGGGGTCTCGGAGTTCAGATCGAGTCGGCGAATCCCAGCCTACCTCTTCGTCCCGGTGACAGGTAACTTTTACGCTCTCTTCCGCTCGTTATCGTTTTACGTCGCCCCGACGCACGCGAACCGAATGCGAATCGTCCGGAAGGTTGTTAGAGGCGGGGGGCGAGGGGACGACGTGGAAGAGCGTGAAGGAGGTCCGATCGCTGCTGGCCGAGAACGGGAAGAGCCTGGACCTGGTCGTGCTGCGCGCAGGGGACGAGGAACGGGTCCGTGCGCTCGACCAGGCCCTTCGGCGCAAGGAGCAGGAGATCCTCCAGCTTCAAAATACCGTCGATCGGGTCAGGTACGTGCGTTCCGCGCCTCGAATCGGTCGAGTTCCCGTTCGCTAAAACGACGTTCGGCGAACAGGAAGGAGCGCGAGAGCCTGAAGTCGGAGAACCTTCGATGCACCCACCGGATCTCGTACCTGGAGGAACACATCGTGGAGTTAGAGACGGCCATCCGTCAACGGCCGTCCCGCCCCGGTCACCACTACCAAAACCTCCAGGTAAACCCGCTCGAACCGTCGCGGATTCCGCGCGCGCTCGAGCGGAGACACCGAAACGCCGTTTTTTCTCGAAGGTCTTCCAACGAGGCGGGACGGTGACGAAGATCCCGGTGTCCGGGACGGCGGGGAAGAAGAACTCCCCCTCGCCGGGAAAGGCGGGTCAGAGATCGGGCAGCGCGGAACGGTTCGAGACGATGTCCGACTGCGCCGGCCGCGTCCGCCGGGTGTCCCGCTGCCCTTCCGGTCCCCGCGGCGGAACGAGCGACGTCGACGCCGCTTACCTCTCGGACACGGCCAGGCCCCTCCCGCCCAAGAAACCCGAGCGGTTGAGTCTGTACCGGGCCACCAGCGTCCAGTCGGTGGAGCAGGGCGGCAGCGGCAGCGGCAGCACCCGCAAGAGGAACCACAAGGGCGAGAACCGAGTGATGAAGACCTGGCCCTCCGTGGAACGAAGCCTCGGCAACGGCCTCGCGACCTTCAAGTCCAAGAGCGAATTCAAGTGGCCCTCGCTCCAAGGCCTCAGGCTCCGAGGCGGCAGCGGCAGCAGCAGCAGCAGCAGCGTCGCCCTTCTCCACCACAACAACAAGAAGACCAAGGAACAGTGGTGTTGAGAGACCGATCCACGTTCCCGCGGGCATTCCAGCGACGAACTCGTCCTCTCGGACCCGTCGAATCCGGCACCAAAGATTCCCTCGACTTGTAAGAGCTGCGATCTCGAATAAAAAGTTTTCTTTAGTACTCCGAAGACCCTTC